CGAGCCACGAGTCAATTCGACGAAGTTGTCGTGTTGCCAACATGAAGTCAACCATCATCCAAGACAGTGGCTTGGACGATGCAAGTGGCAACATACCTACCTGTACTACCGGTAGTACACAAGCGAGAATTTGGTCGATTACATTGTGAATAACTGGACAAGATTTTACTTCGAAATATGTTGGTGCTAGCTAACGTAAAACAAGCAAACAAGCCGTGGGCCCTATATCTTCACGAAGGTATTGTAACCGTGTTCGAGTGTACTTTGTGAGCTGTAGTGCTGGTCATACCATACAGTTCGAATGCCTACGCGTCGATACGTATAAGGATGCCCAAGCAATTCTCGTTAACAGTAAGTTCCACAGTTTAACCACAAGCAAAACAACAACACATGACATTTTCTGTGACCACCAGTAAAAAGTCAAATGGCCACACGTTTTTATCCTATTCCCCTGAGTGAGGCACGGCGAGTTCGACGAGTACGGTATGGCGAATGGAGGTGAGAGGAATGCGAGTTGCACTAAGCTTATGGTGGAGAGATGGAGGAGAGGTAGCCTTCCACAACGCCCCCAAGCTAACATTATCGTGGCTCCTGGTCCTACTAACGTTAACGCCATACTGTTCCATTAACGCGTGTTGGGTAGCTGTTGGTATAAAGAACCATTTTTGCCTTAACGTTAGTCGTAGATGGGTACACCTTTCCCATGCATAAGCCACCAGCCAGTACAGTAGTTCAGGCAGTGTTGTATTCGTACGCTTGACGTTAGCCAGTCCTTGGACACTAAGAATGACGCACACCTCCAACTTGAGACGATATCGCCATGCATTTGTGACGGCCAAAGAACCTGAATTTGTGCGTTTCAAAATCCTTCAACTCACGCTGAGTATACTTTAATCCAGTGTTTCGTGAATGTTTCGTAAATCAGTGGTATTTTTCTATACTTGAAGCACCATACAAAATCCAGCATAAAGGGAAATCGATACTTCCGTTTTACGAAACAAAATGTTTCGTGACTGCATTGAAATTGTTTCGTATTTGTTTCGTAAACCGTGTATATCTTACTATACTTCGAACTATTACTATAAATAAAAATCTCCCTAATTTGTGCATTTCACCCATATACCGGTATGGACTTCATTTCGCATTAAGCTTGCACAAACTATGACATAGACATATTAGTAGTATATATATGGTTTTGCCCGATACGGAGCACATTGAAGTAAACAGTTACTTCGAAGTAATAACGTTATACTTCGTACTACCGGTACTAGTAAATATGATTTATACACACCGTCGACTGAAATTAGTGCGGATTAAGAATTAACGTTAACGTCAGTGTGAATTTAGAACTACATATGGTACTGTAGTGTGGTCCTCACTAATCCTCCGTACATGCGTGATGGAATTCCCAAAATATGTGGTTGGTAATCGGATCAATTTCGCACAATACCGGGTGTATATATCCCATGATGCTCGATTGCTTGATTAGACGTAAAAAGCCATGGAATCTGTATACTGTACCAACTCTTCGATATGATGTTTCTGCTATAACATTTGTAACTGTTTACTTCAATTGTCTGCTTTATTGACTGTTTACATCAATGTGCCTGCTTTACATGTAACTTACTACCGTAGTAGTACTGACTGTTACATCAATGCTGATTTGTAATGTGTCGTATCCTAAATACAAAAAACAAGGTAATAGTCCTGTATTTTGAAGTCAAATATAATATTCCACTTTCTCGCAAATTGGGATTAACCAAAATGCCATTTTTCAAATGGAGGTAAAAGGACCATTTTGTAATATGGCGTTTTGGACATCCTCAAGGAGTAAATCCCACTCGGAACTATTGGATTTGGGTTAAAACTCTTCAAGCAAGACATGTTTCAATTTTGATCAGATGTGTTGAATTCGGCCGCCCCAAAATGCCGTTTTGGGCCAGAATATTGCAATATACCAATCCATTTATCTACGAATCGTACTTATAGGGATTCCAGCCCGTGTACGGATATGCGTTGCCGTTTGGATGTATCCGGACATCGTGGACTGCTTTATCCGGATATTTTGTGGCTTTCAAGTTCGGACATGTTTGGGTGCAGCTATGTCGCCGATGTCGTGTGGGTAGTCTGGGCAGCCGCGGCTGCCACCCGCGGAGATGACGCGGCACTAGGCTTTCTCACGTCAAGTGGTATCGCCTTCATGATCACATGGTATAGCCTACGGACGTACGATCGCCACGCGTTCACGGCGCTGGTGCATGCGGAATGGGGTCTCTGGTCGTCGTCGGCATTCTTGGGTGTCGTGTCGCGGATCGTGGACGCCCTTGTGCACGTCGTGCTGCCATGCGTCATGCTATGTTGGCATTTCAGCCGAGTGAAGCTGTGGATGAGTCCCGTGGCCATGCTGGTGGCCGTGGGGATGCACCGCCTTCGGCATCGTTGCCCGTCGTTGCCATTCCATCGGTACCCAGCTTTCCTGTCGTTATTCATACGTGTTGACTCGTGGTAGGTTTGTCTTTTACCAGTTTACGCCCCGTCGATCGCGGCACTTCTGGGATGCCGCGCTCACAATGGACGTCCTCATCCATGGATCTCTTCCACTGTTTTGCCATGTTGCGCTCGAGGTTCAGAGACTGCGTTTTCACCTCGATTCCGATCCTCCATGTATGCATGCATTCATTCATTCATTCTGTAGCACCCCATGCTTTTGTACGTGAACACGTTGCTTCTGGGAACTGTCGTGATCGGTCTGCACATGCTTCGATCGATGCTACTTCCAAAAGTCCGCGGTGCCGCCGCCGACATCATGCGGCGGCTCCTGGCGCAAGGAAACATCCACCCTGCTAGTGCCATGCTCCCAAGGGTTACTGCCACAGACGAACAAGTGCATACACCGCCCCTTGTACGAATTAACACCATCCTATTGCTCCTACTATTTATTACTAGTACCTGTGAACGATTTCCTCGTCGTTGTATGTAGCACATGGTCGTCCACGACGAACATTTGTGGCTCGACTGGATGAGTGATGGTCTCGTGGCCATTGGCGAGTCATATGTATCGGGGCAATGGAGTCTTGGGCCAGACGTCGTTGACATATCAATCCACGTCGACACGGTTGTCCATCGCTTACTAACACTCCCCGTTGAAGCTAGACGGTTCGTGTCTATGTACTAGTACTATTGTGCAAATTTCGAGTGAGATTTCATTGTGTTGTGGTTTCTCGTTGAAATTTAAATCGATTGGATTGGCTACTTCAGATGAGCTCAAAAGTATTAGCCAATCAAAACCCATTTCTCAATGAAATTCAACAACCAATCAGATCGGTTTGGTCGGCGCGATTCAATTTTTTGTGTCAAATCGACAATAACTAAGTTACTTATCCCTTTGGTCGACTTTGATAGGGACATGTACCAGTCGTGGCCGGCCAGATGGGTATCGCTAGCTACGCGGGTGTGCCAGTATCCGTCGTCCGCGGCGTGCCATGTTGTCGACCCAGTATGATCTTGCTTGGATATACGAGTACCAACACTGTGGAGTTAGTTTCGGGCCAATACTATTGTAGCCAATCACACGAATTCAAGTTCATACACTAATTCGATGTGGATGAGGGTGGTTTCCGGCAATCTGATTGGGTCAATTCTAGTGTATATTTATGTGGCTGTGTCGTCCATTCATTAGTCTCCATGTTGCTCCAGTTTTAGAAAATATACTATAATATTGTTCTTATCGATCGCTTCTTGAACTGAATTTTATATGAACAGGATTGTCCGAAGGCAATCACACTAATTCAAGTCATACACTAATTCGATGTGGATGATACCATGTTGCTCCAATTTACGAACAATTTGTCCTTGTATCCTTGTAATAAATGATGAACTCAATATTGTGGATGATTCGATACTATGAATTTCCAAACCCCGTTGAATCGAATATGTCGCCAGTGAATCGAATCATCATCACGAATCGACGCTATGATTGGCTAATCCATTTTGGAGTGGATTATTTGATTGGCTCTTACAGAAAGAACAATTGTATATTCAACCAATCAAAACTCCACCGTGATTCAATATTCAGTAGACAAACAACCACGCGAATAATTTTGCAAGTTTATAGCGAAATATCACAATATTCCAAATGGCCACGAATAAACACTTGGCCATTTAATAGGTGCAACACGACCCATTGGACGACGACGATTCTGTATGTCGAGTTTTCGGCACGTACCAAGGGCGTGGGTTGTGGCAGGACGGCGACACTCTGAATGTACGACGTCCACTATAAAGACATGTATCATATCTATAGGTCGTACAATCTAGATGGCCCAAGACCGAGCGTTGCATGCGATGGCGTTGAAGCTGTCGTTGGTACCATATATACATGGATACCCTAAAACTATTCTATCCATTGAAGCTATCGCTGCTGTGGTGTTTTTAAACATGAATATAGACTCGTGGCCATCTGGTGCTCGACTTGAACTTGGGGTATGGTGGCGGCGTCGGTTGCTTTTTGGCCACGCAGTTCCACGTACAAGTGATTTCAATCGTACAATCTCGACACGAACAGATTGCAGCCATCCAATTGGCCCAGCAGGCCAACATCGAGTCGCATGTCCAGTTTATTCTGCTTGCCGATATGCCACATGTAAACATCAGACACTCCCACACTGTCGCGCTTGGTTAATATTATTGATTGTGTGAGAGTTTTCAGTTTTGAGGTATTGAAGCCCTTCGGATTGTTTGTGATGGGCTTGCACTGAATATAGAACTGTATTTGTATCTATCGAGGCGGCAATCTCAATCTGATGATATTGCAATATTGTGCATTCATTTCACCCAAATTTGGACTTGAGAGAGTCATTTCGCCAAATAGTTTTCGAATCTATTTGATCCTATTTAAGCTTGTACACACTATACTATACAACGATTAGTATATATGTGGTTTGCCCAATAATGCGAAGGGTTGATTGGCAGAAATTCAACATGACGTGATTTGATTGGCTCCGGTGGAGAATCGATTCTCCTAAGACATTCGATTGATTGTGCTGAGGGCTCCAGTTTCGAATCGATTTGACCATATCATGGATCGATTTGTTTGTACTGACGTTTGTATGTAATATATGGTGTGTCACCGTGTATAGTAATTGAAGTTACAATGAATTCGATGGTTGCACGAGTTTGATTGGCCACTGGATTTTTGTTCTTTTGTTTTGATTGGTCGAACCCGATGAGGGATGTAGTACGATTGGAAGGTTAGCGTGGCAATATATATATATATATAAATATGGTATTAGATACACAATATATAGTTTTGCACTTTAGCCATGGGACTGTACATTTGACCACCAAGCCAGTTGTCGAAGTTTCAACTACAGTATCGATCTATTGTCCATTCGATTTGATCTGTGAGCAGCACCATATATATATGAATATATATAGTCATACATATGATGTACATAATATAACGTAATACACTGTTTGGGGTAGCTGGCGCACATGTTAGACCAATTGCCGAGTGGTTTTGACGCGATCACAGCGTCAAACGTGTTGGAATGTGCCAATGCGGACGATTTAACGCGAATCTTGGGTTTGTTAAAAGCCAAACTTGTCGGAAAGGGTCGACTCGTGCTGGACGTAACTACTACCCCGCATCGCGCCAATACATATGCTTGGACCAACAAGTACATGCCAAAGTACTCGAAGCGCGCGTTATCGTATGCGACGGTGTGCTCCATCGGATAGTTAAACAAGGACAGAACGCTCACACTGTGTCGCAGGTCCGCAGTGCCATGACCGACGTGGGCTGGGTCGTAACCGACGTGACTAACTGCAGCGACCAGTATGATGCCATGTACGTGATGTGGCATGCTCGCTTTCACGCGGCGGCGGCGGCGGCGCTGCCCGATTCCGCCCGACGAACATGGGAGTTTTACCTGCTGCACACGGCGGCGTGCTATCGAGCTCGAAATCTCCAAGCGTTTCAAATGACCTTGTCATGACGATGGTGCTGCTGAGCTATTCTAAGTAGTCGACATGTGCCCACCATACCTATATTAGTGTAGGATTGTCAACGTAATCGATAATGCCTAGAATTAGTGTGTATCGACGTGCGTCCCTTGTGGCTACAGCTTTTCGGACTTGGATTCAAACGGCGCAGTGCTACAATGGACATTTCAACGTATGAATGAAAGAAACTTGTCACTACTTAGTAGTACTAGTATAAAACTACTACTCCTTCGA